GGATCTTAAACATTTTATTATTTTTTACTGAAGTGTGTGTGTGCTTTTCCAAAGATCCATGAATTGCAGAAGTACATGCCTATGGCACTTGTGGGGGGGAAATCCCCCCAATGTCTTTAGTCTTTGTGAATACTTGGTGGGGAAAATGTTTTGTTTAAAAGAAAGTTGCAAACCACTTTCAAACTGCTTGTTGGAAATCTCTTAGGTCAGGAATATGATCAGATGAGCCGGTGTGTGTGAGGGTGGACCCCAATTTAATCATGAAATCCTATGGTCACTGTGACGAAATGGCTGCCAGGCCTTGAAATGGATACCAGCCTGGTACTTCCTTACGTGTGTGTGGGGTGTCCTCCATAGGGAACAATAGAGCGGCCACACCTCCCTGCCTATTCTTCCCAGCATCCCTGAGGGGACAGAGTTAGGCTGTGGAAGGTCGGTAGTTCAGCAGTTCGAGACCCGGGTTGCCGCATGACGGAGTGAGCTCCCGTCTCTGGTTCCAGCTCCTGCCAACCTAGCAGTTTGAAAGCAAGAAATTGCAAGTAGATAAATAGGTACCACTTTGGTGGGAAGGTAACAACGTTCCGTGCGCCTTGGCGTTTAGTCATGCCGGCCACATGACCACGGAAACGTCTTCGGACAGCGCTGGCTCTTCGGCTTTGAAACGGAGATGAGCACCGCAACCCTAGAGTCGGATTCGACTGGCTTTCGAGCAAGGGAGCCTTTACCTTTACCTTTACCTTTAGGACCCTTTTCATGTTTAGAAAGATCTGCCTTGCCTGTTCACAGCTCCAGTCACTGTTTACAGAGCCTGTTGTAATCCCTTTCACCTGTAGCATTCTACACCCCCAGAAGGTTAGGGTTTTAGGGAACCTTGGGAATAGCTTGGGATATGCAGCAAGAAGGGAGAATTGGCAGAAATTGCCTGGTGTGCACCACAGGGTCCTCCCCGCTTTGCATGTTACCAGGGGGGAAAGGGAGGCCAGGGGACACAAACGGGCCCGAATCTGAGGGGTTGCCAACTCTCCAGGGGGCACCCAAAGATCGAGGTACCCACTTCCCAAGGTGGGGGATTTAGCCAGAGGGGTCTCACTGTCCCTCAAGGAAGGCGGTAACTCAATTCAGTGAGTGGTGGCAGCATTTAATGGAGAGAAATAGTCCCACCAGGCAGGGTGGGAAGGCCAAAACAGGGACTTGCGAGCCACAGGACGGCACCTCAGTCTCCCAGGACTGAGGGCGGGTCCCCGTTTCGCCACAGTCACCCCTAGTTTTTCCTCCACCGTTTACTGCTAAACTTGAATTGAATTGCATCAGAAAATGCAGGAATATAGAATTCCCACTGTCGTTGCACTGCCACCAGGTTTGGACCTATGGCAGCCAGGGTTTTTAGCTGAGCCGTTTGCCCGGAAGCCATCTCCACTGTTGCTTTTTACTAATGTATTTTCCCTTGCAGACTGTAGTGCAGCTGATGGAAGTATTAAGAGGATGTGTGCAACATGTCTGTGCCATGCAGGAGACTGTGCCTCTAGAACATATCCACAGTCTTCCCTCTTCTGTTCTTCATGTGATCAAGAACACATTTATATACTGCAGGGTTAGTGAACTTAATTCTTCCATAGACATTTAGATTTAACAGGCCCAAAAAAAAATCTACAAGTTTTTTAAAGAGAGCATTGAAATCCAGTTTCTAAAAAAATCTGTGTTTTGAATTCCCCAGAACTGTCCCTAGAGGGTACGTGATTAGTAAAGACCAAACTAAAAAGTGGAGGGAGAGAACGTGTTGTTCCAGGGCATAATTGGAAAGCTTTATGGTCAACAATTTGTAGCAGTCTAAGAGAAGAGGAGTTGTGTTGTTTGGGGCAACCTTGGGGCAACGAGAATTTTATTTTGTATCTAGTGTAGTCGAACCTAATTAAGTCTGTGAATATAGATTCTGATAAGAGTTATTATGTCACTATTGCTTTTAGATATTCTGTCGTTCGTGAGTCTGTTTCCACTGTATCTGTGCATAATGTGTACATGTGCTTCCTGGTCCTCTGTTTTGCTACAGGACAGTGAATCGCTGTACAGTGACCATCTCCATTTGTTTGCTGACTTACTTCAGTCTTTGTTTAAGGAAACTTACGCTTTGCAAAAGCAGCTTATGGAGCTGCTTGATATGACATCTGTGGATTCCTGCGCTGCTGAAGACAGTACAGCAATTATTGTTTCAGGTGGGTGTGCAAAATGTGCATCTCAAGACGACACCACTCTTCTCTGATGGGCACCAAACTAAACAAGCACTTTCCCCTTCCATGAATGCTGATGTCGCACATCTTACAATTATTCCATTATTTCTGGATGAACACCCCCCCCCCCTTTACCCTTTCAAATTCAAAGCCCCATGGCTAGGGGTTAGGGGCAGAAGTGACTGAAAATATTCTGAATTTATGGGAAATAGTCTAGCTGACTGGATGCTCTGTGTGCTCTTGGCTATGTTTGTTGATAGCATTTTATTTTGCAGTTAGTATTGTATTTATTTCCTTTGCAGTGATTCACACTGTGTTGGAGATCTGCTCTGCTATTTCCATCATAGATCATGCCCTTCATGCAAACACATGGAAGTTCTTAATCAGGTATGTTTTCATTATCTTAATGATACATTATAAGAACTAAGCGGATTCTGTATCTAGCCTGTTATGAACAGGCAGTCTGATCTGTTTGTTTTTAAAATTTTTCCTTTTATTTCATACCATAATCTATATGCAGTTTAAAATTGCGGGCACAAAACATTACAACTCAGAGCAAGTCAAATACAAAAACACAACTTTCCATGATGCCTGCAATACAACACTCACCAGCAGGGGGAAGAGCACAGGTAGGAAGGAGAGACAGCAAAAACCAATAGTTCCTGGCAGAAAAGACAGGCACCGCTCTGGTTGAAGCAGTCTGATCTGTAGTTAAGTTCAGTTGAAGTTCTTAAACTCAAGGCAGTGTAGTTCCATTGCTAAACGGTTCAGGTATTTTTGGCTGTGATTTGGGTTGCTAGCTGCAGTGTTTGGGACTTGCCTGCATCCATTCACCTGATGTATCTGTACACAGGTTTTTAGTCAGATTTGTGCTCCCAGGGTACTATACAATAAAAAAAATTCACATTTTTAAAGGCAATGGGTGTGATGCACAATACTGTTGATTTTTATTTTCTCTGTGCAGTATGTGAAGCTTCACCAACACCTGTTGGAACCTGCTAGAACTCTTAGTAGTGGTGGTTAGGTAAGAGGTGACCCCCACCCTCCATATACTGGTGGCTTCAGTAACAGGAATTTATGGTGTTTCTGCCCAGTGAATAAGAGCTTCCCTCCTGTGGAAGTGCACTGTAACAAACTTAGCCTGAACAATACATATGACCTTCCTCAGGAGGAGAGATCTAAAAGTTGCTAAGGCTTGCGCCCAGCTCCCAGTCTGTTATATAATTAAGGCAGGGGAGTGTAGGCTTGTTAACACAGTAGACTGGATATGGGACATCCCTGGACCAAACTGATAGGCTGCAGGAGCTTTGCTCATTGGTTTGTTTTCAGGGACACCCCATATGTAACCATTATCCTTCTCTTTTTCTCATACTGTCTTCTTCCATGTCTCTTGCTCCACCATGGGGCATTCTCCAGCACCATGATCCGCACCCTCCCCTTATCATTCCCTTCTTAACCTGAGGCATGAGCCCACCTGTTTCCCATCCATTTTCAGCCTGCTCTGAGGGAGGAGGAACGTTATGTGGTGTATTGGAGGTTCGCTGGCCAGACATAAGTCGTGGGTTGCCAGTTGAGACACATTGAATAAGACTTAAATGAAAGCCACTCTGAGGCTTGCACTAAACAAATACATTCCTTTTGTTGTACATTTGCATTCTCCATTAGATGCAATCCATGGCCATAATATTAATTCCTGAGAGTCTGACTCAATGTCCTGTTTTCATTTGGAATTGTTCTGTTCTATAGCTCTCAAGTATCGAGCTCCTGTTTTATATTTCCTTATGTGATTACCATGTATATTACTAAATTGTCTTGGATTTTTTTTAGGCTTCTTACATCTGCTTGTGTAGCCACTTCACATAGTAAAAGAAGAATTGTGTCTAAACCATTTTGATATTCTTTTCCCTGAAAGATCTTGGTGAACATTAGGGTAGACTAAGTAGGAATGTGGTGGTTTTTGTGATGTGTTGAGATAATCTCTGTCCTCTCCAGGCAAAGCACAAAACACAAGTCATTGATAAAGAACAGCTTGAAACATACTGCTATCCTCCATGGCCTTTGTGAGGGCATCCTGTTTTCCTTCCAGTCTTGTTTGCTGCTGGCAGAGCAGATGAAACAGTCTGGGACGCAGGTGAATTGATCAGTACTTGGGGGCATTTGGGGCCTGGGCAGAAGCTGACTTCTTAAAATGCTGTAACTAAATTTGCAAAGGGTTGTGCTGCTTCAAAGCACTACGGAGCTGGGCAAGGCCACAAAGAAGGTTAGCATCGTCTCATATTTTTTATATGCTGGGTTGTATTCTGCTACTCTGCTTAGCTAAGGGCAGCGGGTTCTGTTGGTGAAAGGAGGTGTCTACTGTCAGTGGAGCCTCTTGCATTGGAGGGATGCATCTTGTACTGATGGAACACGCCACTCTTAGCTGAGCAGAGTGACAGGATGCAATCAGTTATGTATCCATCTTTTGCTAGTGTTGCACTTTTTTATGACGTGACGTGTCCCAGGGAAGGGAGGAGGTGACCTGCTGCCCTAGGTGGTTCCCTTGATTTACCTCTCACTGCTTCAGGGAAGTTGGTTGTAGAAAATTTCTGATGTTGATTAAAGTCTTCGGCTAAACTTTGCTTTCTGTTCCCTTGTGGATAGGAGAACGTTGATTATAAGGTGTTCCAGAGGACAATCAAACTGAGTAGGTTCTTTGCTGTTTCCCTGGTGCACTATACCAAGGTAAGAGTTGGCCTAGCTGGGTTTAGTCAGAAAGGATTACTTTTATTTGCATACCTTGTAATTACAGTGTGCGAAAATATTTCACCTAACATGTAAAATACTCATTATGAGAACACTGTAGCATTTGGGATTAAACAATAATGATATTGTTTGTTTATATCTTATTACCTTTGTACAATAAACTGCCCTGTGATAGTTTACTGGGGATCAATCAGGATTCTTTTGGATTCAACCATTAGAATTTTCTTTTCTTCATTGCCTTTCCCAGCCTCCCCCCCTCCAGTTTTTTATATTAACAAGTTTAAAAGCAAAAGAGCACCTGACATTGTTGACTTTGCAGGAATTCACTCCTTTCCTGGTGGAGTCTTGCTCTCAGTTACACCAGACATATCTTCAAATATACAGGTAAGCAAAATGTAACTGTTAACAGATATTATTCAGTGCAGAATTATCACATTATCAAATGTTATATGCCCACACTTGAAATGAATGTTGAAACCACCTTCCTGGCCTCATAGGGTGATTTGCAAACCATGGGTTGCAAAGGTGCAAGCTTGTGCATGATAAGTCCTGGTAACTATGGATCTTCGACGTGGTCTCTGTGCTTTACGCCCATGGGATCTAGTGTGCACGCGCTGGATCGATCGGCATTGTAGCAAGCTCTTTAACGGATTTTCGCGCCCAGACCTCGGGCATGCGCAGGAACCCCACCGCGCATGCCCAGAGGGGTGGGCGTGGACATCCCGCCAGTTCCTTTCTTACCGCCGTGTTGGAAAGACCTTTTCTTTGTCGGTCCGATCGGTTCTCTTTTTTGGCTATTTGCCTCACGGCTCTTCGGATTTCCCCCCTCAGTTTTCTTCCTTTTTCTTAGCCTTTCTTCGTTTGTTCTTCAAAAAAATAATTAAAAAGTTGTTTTTGTTGAGGGGAAAGTTGCCAAAGAAGTTGTTTTTGTTGAGGGGAAAGTTGCCAGTTTACCTCAGTTTGACCTTTGCCCCCCCCAACCCCCCCTTTTTTTCTTCTCCCTGTTATATTTTTTATGGAGAAGAAGTGGGGCTTTTTCAACCACTGCAGGGGTTGCAGCAGTAAACTAGTTCCACCTGACTGCCACACCCTCTGTATTTTTTGTTTGGGGGAGTCTCACCGACTGTTTTCGCATCCGCTTTCAAAATGTTTTTTAAAGGGACTGTTGCACCTTTGCTACAATGCCGATCGATCCACTGCGTGCGCACTAGATCCCATGGGTGTGAATGCACAGATGACCACTCGAAGATCATCAGTTACAGGTAAGCAACCTGTTTTTTTAAGACCAACCAGTGACTATGAGGGCAGTCTTGATTAGTTTTAGCCATGTTGATGTAATGCTAAACCATTACTGTTAAGTAACTCAGTGTTAATTATTGGAACTTTTTTAAAAAACTGAATTGTTAGATGAGTGGGACTGTGAGAAATTTGGGGGTGGTGGTGGTTTCTTTTTGCTTACTTTATTTCTGTATTTGTCGTGTCAGATTATAGGAAAATAACTCTTTTCCTCAGGGTGTGGTATGTCTTTGTTTCAATATTCTTGTGTATTTTTCCATTCAGTTATAAAAAAGTAGCTTATGAGAGATTTTATGAGAGATTTTGGAACACGATTAGCAGAGTATCATTTTCTAAAATAATCTTTTTAAGTTAAATAATTGAGAAATGTAGAGTGTATTCTCTGAGGTTATGTAAAGGCTGCATTCAGATTGCTTATGCCAGCCAGTTAGGATACACTCTGTGACCTGATAGCCCAAGCTAGCCTGATCTTGGAATCTAAGCAGGGTTGGCCCTGATAAATACTTAGATGGGAGACTGCCAAGGAAGGGCGTCCAGGGTTGCTGTGCAGAGGCAAACCACCTCTGGACATTTCTTGCCCTTGAAAGCCACATGGGGTTGCCCTACGTTGGCTGTGACTTGAGGGCACTTTCCACCATGACCTTTGGGGGCTATCTAAACAATAAATGGAATTTTTAAATTTCACCATTAATTCAAGTTGTCCTTTTTACTAAGTGATTGAAATCACCTTAGTACCCATCCCCTTGGCTTGAAGTGCTGCTGCATCTGAGGGGTTTCAAACCCCAAATGTAAGCCTTAGTTTGGGTACACTTAAAGACTGAGAAAGGAGCATATGCCCTGGCCAAAGACCTGCTTTAAAGGCACAATCCTCTCTAATTCTCCTGGCCAAAGACCTGCTGCTTTAAAGGCACAATCCTCTCTAATTAAATAATATAAATGAATGTTATACATCCAATATTGAATGTTTCCATTATTTTTATTTCATTTCATATGCTATTTATGGATTATGGCTTACAGTTTTAGAGTTAAGTATATTAACCTGTTGCACCTTGTTAATCAGCATTCTTAGTGTGAATAATGCTAAGTTTCCCCATGTGACTCAGAACTGAATATTCCCCTAATGTCAAATTGGCAACTTCGAGGACCTACCTGAAAAAGAGAGCTACTGAAGGGCCATTAAAAATACAAAATAAAAACATTTTTTCTTTCCCTTAGATATTAACACTTGCTTAGGTGTTTGGGTATCCAAAGGCTGCATGTAGCACTCACTCATAGTTACCAAGAAACAGCAGCAGGTTTTAAACAAAGCCAAGCAGTGCTCCGGCTGGCCTTTGCCTTGATTCGTGCTGAGCAGCAGTCAGAGCAGAGCTGTGATGAAACGTTCTGTGTTTGTTTTCCTGCTAGCAAGTTCCCTCCAAGTCTTCATGCGGCAGTGATTTCTGAGGCATCTCGGGATGAAATAGCCAAAGGATTCCTCGTGGCCCTGGATCCTCTCCTCCCCAGCCTGCTCTCCTTCGGGCCTTTTGTGGAAGCCGTATTAAGTAAAGCCCCAGGTAGGCTTAAAGGCCCTGATTATCCGCACGGCATCCCCTTAAAGCAGAGGAGTGGTACCCGCTGCGATGCCCCCTCCATTCATTTACACTGAGGATCTGCAGCAGCAGCATTTGGGTTTGTGCCTCAGATTTGTTTGGTGTTTAATACTCAGGGCTTCCTGGGCTTTTTTCTCTCAATTTTCAATCAGTTGCAGTGTGTTACTGGAAATTAATATTTATTTGTTTATTTATTAAATTGGATTTTTAAACCACCTTCCCTTGCAAAACAGGGCTCAGGGCAGTGTACAACAGTAGAAATAGACATATATCAATCAGCCATAAAAATAAAATACAGTAAAAATAACCTAATGAGATGACGCTAAGATTACCAATTGGGGAGGTAGGAAGACAGGAGCGCCAGCCAAGATGGAAACCGTCACTGTTCTCAACCAAACACCTGGTGGACAATGTTCCCTCTAATCTGTGGAGACTTGTGAGCAAAAATTCTACTTTCTGAGCTCCTGGCATTAAAGTTGTAAGCGAGCGATTTGGCTACTGCATAAGTTAGTTTGCTCTGGAGCCATCCTTCCTGAGCTAAGACAAAAATGGGTGAGCCGGAGGCTAAAAAACTGAGATAGCTCACACTAACTCAGCTTAGAGGGAACACTGCTGGTGAAACATCTCTGCCTTACAGGCCCTGCCAGAATTGCATGAGATCCCGCAGCAGGGCCCGGATGTTACTTGGCAGAGCCTTCCACCAGGTTGGGGCCAGGGCAGAAAGTGCCCTGGCCCTGGTTGAAGACCGCCGGATGTATCTTGGGCCCGGAGACCACCGGTAGGTTTTTATCTGCTGAGCGTAATGCTCTCCAGGGGGTATGCCAGGAGAGGTGGTCCGAGTTAATTAACAAGTAAGTGATGCTCCTTAATAATACCATTTGGTCCTTAGGGGACACGAAATGTGGATTAGTAGTATTACATTTCCATATTCAATAAAAAGTTTTCTGGATTTACTGCAAGCACAGGAAACAGAGGCCAGCAGCAAGCGTATATGTTGCACTGTAATTCTTGGACAAAGTAGAAAATGGGACACGAAATGTGGATTAGTAGTATTACATTTCCATATTCAATAAAAAGTTTTCTGGCTTTACTGCAAGCACAGGAAACACACCATAAGCAGAGGCCAGCAGCAAGCGTATATGTTGCTCTGTAATTCTTGGACAAAGTAGAAAATGGGAAGGATCTTGTTCTTTCCTCCTATGTGGCAAAAAGAACTTGAATGCTGCAAGTGGAGTTTAAGGGCAAGAATAATTGTGCTATTCGTCTCTGTTAAGCAACCTAAGTGCTGGTTTGAATGGGCTGGATGACTTATGAGTTAGTCCACATTTCCTTTAACAAAATCCACAGATCTCCATTGACAGCAACAGCAGGCAGATCTCTGCATGCTTATTCTCCAGACAGCTTGTGAACATTGGTTTGGGGGAGGGAACAATACGAGAAAGAATAAATTTAGGGCGTGATTCAAAAAGCTTGCTGGTTTACTTAGGCTTTGTAGTTTTTAGATATAGCTACAAATTCTACAAATGAAATATTCAGATAAATAGAGGCAAATATCCTCATTTATCAAAGTAGAACCTATAATTTATGCTCACAAAATATTTTTTCCCCTCCACTTAAATGTGCTGTGGTGCTGTAGGGCCTAAATGGCCTCTGTAATTATAAGCGGGGGTTTGGGGTTCCCAGGAAGGCCAGGTCTGCTGCAGTGTCCCTTTAAAGCTTAAAAGGCCATGGCAGTATTCGTGCCACAGCTTGCCTGTGGCACATTCTCCCACCTCCTGCTGCCTCTCCCAGACCTAAAATGCTCCTGAAATTTTGAGAGATGTTACTTGTAAAATTTTGGGAGTGTTCTGGGCCATTTTCAGGTATTGCTTAGCCAAACTAAAATGGGATTTGAGGAATAATTTTGACTCAGGCATGTCATGAATGTGGACCCCCAGTTGTAAGTGTTTACACATTTGAGGCTTTCTGTATCTGTTCCCTCAGGCCAAGAGGGACTCTGCACAAAAGAGAGCTTGTCTTTAGTTATAACACTTCTTTAAAATATCATCTTCAGTTCTCTCTCCTGAGCTGCACTTTGCACAATGCCGTCTCCTGCTTTCTGTAATGGACATGTTGCCATCCCAGCCGCCAGAGGTGCAGGCGCTTTGGAACACAGAAAATCATTCCCTAGAAGACAGGTAATTGCTTGCTGCTGAGAATGAGGCTCTCATGGCTTGGCATGGTCTGGAGGCACTCTGTAAGATAGAGGTGGATTGGCCCGCAGAAGGGACAACGTTTGGGTTTAGGGAAGCCAATGAAGGGCGGTCTGATTCAGTCTAGATGTAGCTAAAGTTCCTCCAGTGTTGTATGTTTATTTTTTACTGATCTTTTACTAGAAAGTTAAAATTAATATATAGAACACATTATTAACATCTTTACATAATTCATCTATTCATTTGTCCAGTAAAGTTACCACCAAAGCCACACCTTGTTATCCTTTTAACTGTTGAAACAGAACAGTGGAGTCTGTTTATTTTGAAAAGATTCTGGTTAACTTCTCCCTGATATAAGATGCTACTTTCTACTTACGTATTTTCACTGCTTGCCAACATTTATGACAAATCAGGGTGTTTTGTGTTTTATTCTGTGTAAGCCTAGTAGCTAATTGCATGAGGCATATGGTCTGCCAAACTCTACATAGTGTTGCACTGACTCAGGGTATTCTAGAGCAAATTTAGTGGCAATTCGTTCTGGTGCTTCAGACCAACACGGCTGACCACCTGGGACTATCTCGATTTATTCTAGTGATGTATTATGAGTCTTGGTCAAGGATTTGGTAATGTGGAAGTCACGCTACTGTTCTCCATGTCTCTGCAGGGTTCCCTTGTTTACCGCCCTCTTCCTCAGCCTACAGCAGTGCTCTGGAGAGCTTTCCCTTCCTGTCCTTTTGCCCGGAGTGGTGGCAGCTGGACAAGCAGAGCATTCTGTCACTTTGTACCACTATGTCTGCATCCATTTGTGTGCCTTTGTCACATCCCTCTCTGTGTCACATTTCCCTCTACTGGTAAGGAGGAGTATTGCAAGGCAATACTGATTTGATTTTACTTTTGTTTATAGCTCACCATTCTCACTGAGACTCAAGGTGGATTATGAAATACAGAAGACAGTTCAATTTACAGTGCACGTTTATCCGAAGTAACAATGTTACCTGCAAAAAGCCAGTGACTCTAAGATAAACTGGTGACTTGGATAGCACTTAAACTGAGAAACCAGCATCTTCATAATATGATTTTTTAAATCAGGGCTCCAAATGGAATTGGCCAAACCCCATAGTTTTGATTGATGCTATTTTCCGGGGTGTGCACAGATAGTAAAGGTGCTCTGACCGTACAAAAAAGTCTGAATTGGTCTCGTTATATGCTAATGGCAGGAGGGAAGGTTTCAATAGAGTGGTAGAACCAAGGTGGGCCCTTTCTGTACAGCATCTCTGCTCTTGTGCCTTTCCCTAGGAACGGTCGCTACTGGAAGCCATACTTGCTTCTAACATGATCATCGGTCTCCTGGCTATGGATGTTTGGTGCTTCCTGGCCCGGTAAGATAAGTGTCTATTGAGGCATGCAACAGAGGCCTAACTTTTTTTCCATCTTCCTTATTAGTATTGCATTCCTATCCCACCCTTCCTCTAAAGAGATCAGGGTGGCTTACGCAGTCCTCCCATCCTCCATTTTATCCTCATGGCAGCCCTGTGAGGTAGGTCAGGCTCACAGAGTGTGACTGGCTCAAAACCCATCTAATGAGCTTCATGGCAGAGTGGGATTTTAACCTGGGTCCCCTGGTCCTAGTCCAAAACTTAACCACTAGATCATATTGCCTCTCTATTTGTATCCCACTCTTCCTCTAAGAAGCTAAGGTGTCATATGTAATATTCTAATTTTCTTCTGATAAAAAGGTGACATTAAGTCAGACTGAGAAAGATTGACTTTTCAAAGCTGTCTGGATGAGCTTAAAGGCTGAGCCAGCAACTCCCCTAGTTTAAGATCAACACAAACTAGTCAAACACAGGAAGATCAGCCAGCTCGCTTGCTAATTCTTCTGTCTCATTTCCCAGGTACGGAACAGCAGATCTATGTGCTCATCATGCATTTACAATAGCCAGTTTGGTAAGCAGAGTGTAATGTGTGTGTGTTTATCATAATTAGATCCATATTCTAACCCAGGTTTTGTTTGACCCCTCCTGAAAGAACTTAGCCAAGCTGGTAATACAACATGAGAAGAATATTCGTCATCCCCTTTAGTTTCTTCAAGTGCTTTTAACAGTTCTATGAGTGGTAAATTCACAAGTAATATAAATCTGATGGTGATGTAATCATTCAAAATTTATTCCAGATGATAGAGTTGATTAACGGTAGAAACTAAACATATCAGATGCAGTAAAAGTAAACAGGCCTAGAGGTGTTCATGTTTGTTTCTTCACAAGATGCTCTGCTGCTGGATTTCACTTCATATTTCATACAAACCCCACCTTTCTCCCCATTGGGGACCCAAAGTGGTGAATTTCATTCTCCGTCCCTCCGTTTTATCCAGGTGTGATCAGCTACTGATGCTGTAGGTTTTCTTTTGTTCTTCCCTGTAGTCTGGGGCTTTGCTCATTTGTTTGATTCACCCGGGTGAGATCACTGAAGTATAACTTGCCTTGTGCAGGCAGCTCTAAAAAGGGACCGCTCAATTCATTTCTGCTTGTGGCACAGTTTGTGATTCATGCAATGTGGGCTAATCTAGAACATGGTTCAGTTGGGATAGATATACATATGGGGTATGAGATCTGGTCTCAGTAGTAAACTAAGAGGGAAATTATTGTCTTTAGTGCCTAAAATGAAATTTGTTGTTTGCAGCTTTTGGTTCTTAAAAAGTGTTATTAAAATTTCCCTTAAAAAAATGTGACTAGAGTATTTGAGCACCAGGAGCTTATCATTGTTTCTTACCCTGATCCAGATAAGAGCTTGTCCTGGTGAACATTATCGAGTCTCTCTGTTGGGCATCCTGCTGAGACGCCTGCTCTTCCTGATGGCTCCCGATCACCAGGCGAGTATTGCTCTGCCCTTTCCTGGTCTGTTTCAACCTGTAATTTTAATTGGTGAGGCTGATGGTTGAATTGTGGATTATTTCAGGCTGGTTTTGGTTGGTTAATGTAATAGGGAATGAAAAAGAAAATGTGTAGCTTTAAAAAAGTATATGTTGTCTTTCTGTCTGATAATGGACCTCCAAGGCAGCTAACAACAAAAACCTTAAAATTCAATATAACATAATTTAAATCGCAGAATAAACTTATTACTACCAACCCTGTATAAAGTGGTATAGAAATAACAGCAGACTGGCAGTAACGCTTAGCCAACAGTACTGCACAAACAACAGTCTTCCCCAGAGGTGTTCCTAAAAGTATGCATAAATGGGCACTGGACATTTTAAAATCTTATTTAAGCCTAGTAGATGTTGGCGGTAGGAGACAGACTGCAGTATCCCAGGTGCCTGTATTCAGTTATGACAGCTAATAAGAGCTTGATTTGAGACTTCTCTGTCTGGAAACCTTCAGTCGTGCTCTGCATGTTTGGGGTGTGTGTGTGAGAGGGTGCACATAAGCATGAGAACAAGCTGTGTTCAAGCCGATTATTGGCAGGCATCTGAATGCAGTTGCTGTTTGGGTTTCAGGTGTGTTCTCTCTAATGCTGTCACCCTTTCAGGTGGAGTTTGTGGAAAGATTTCCTCCCAAAGAAATGGAGAATCTGGTCTTGTGGCAGCACCTTTCTCTTAAGGCCCTGATGGCTCCGCTTAGGAAGCAAGTTGCTCATGAGCTTTTTGTGGCAGGACTTGCACAAGGCGAAGAGTGGCTGAGCGGGAAAAGGCCTCTGGAGGAGCTTCCACGGGGGGTATGGCAAAACGTGGCTGAACAGACTCCCGCTTCTGAATGTTGAGGATTCCCTTCTTGGGTCTATCTGCCTGTTAAATGTTATGGAGAAATCCCCATAAGTGTTGTGCAGTTACTTTGTCTTGACGCAATCTTCAAAGACTCGCTTGATTCGTAAAGAGATTCGGCTTTGCTTGTAACATTTTGGGTCAAGTTTAGGAACCTTCCATCAGGTTCCAGGGCGAAGGACACAGAATACAAAATGCTGGGAATAGAAAGCTTTCATTTAAAAAGAAGATAAAGTTTTTTGTTCTGGTTGCTGAGAAAAACCCAAATAGGCACGAGCGTTTTCTGCTAGGTGCTTACCAATCTGGATGAAGCTTCTGGTGCACCCACAGTCTCCAGACAAAGTCTAGCCGATTTGTATAAATTACTTCCTTTAGAAGTATGTCTAATCATTGTATTTGGGGTTTTTTTTAAGTGTTGCTATCATGGAGCTAAGTTTCTAAAACTGCTCCTTTGGGCTCCATTCACATGTTGAGATCTTTTTTGCTGTAGTGTTCACCTCATGACATGTTCTTACCTTCTCATTCTCTCATCTCTTCCCTGTAAGAATGCTGCACTCTCTGCCTTGTTACTAGTGTGCCAAACTGCTGGAGAGACTCTGGAGGTGGGACAGCAGACGGCACTTGTCAGAGCTGCTGGTCGACTTTTGGCTGTTGTAAATGTCACGCAGGTTAGAAAATGTTCTATTTCCCCCACACTGTTGCATCATCTTGTTTCCCTTTACCCATGAGGAATATGGTACATAACAGAGAAACTCAGTGCTGTTTCCCTGCTGTAGCGAGAGGACTCCAGAAGTGTGTGTGAGAGAGGACAGACTTTGTGTTCGTGACAGTAGCAGGATCATGCTGCTGTATGCCATTATAGTATCTTCCTTGCCATATCAATTTATGGCCACATTTCAGGTGCTGTGAGGGTGCGTGTTTTTGTTGTGTGCCTAGCGGGAGCCTCTGCTTTCTAACCCATCTAGGGAAATGACAGGCAATGAAGCGCCCCTCTGGGTCAGTAACCTCTAACTGGATCTTGGCTAAGAGGTGGTACTCTGCCGCAACCCAGATTTAGATTCTGATGGTATTCAAACAGTCTGTGGGAGGAGTATAAATTCTATGAGTAAATGGCTTGGTGGTATTTAATTAATTTGTAATAAATGAAGTACATTGAGTTGCTTTAACCTACTTTTCACAGAGTGAATCTGCCCGCCATCAGTGCTACGAAACAGTTGATCTGCAGTCCCAGGAATCTTTAACTAGTTTAGCTGGCCAGAAATGGAAGTGCTTGGGAGGCTGTAACTTCTCCTCCTTTCTCTGAGCAGTCTGAGCGCTGAAAGCAGAACATCTTTCCAGCTGTTGAATGACAGTGCTTCTCTTCCCTGCTGGCATCTGTCCTGCAGTCCAAGGCTTGTGGTGGGGGCTGCCTTCTTTGCTGCACCTTCTTCTTACCTTCCAGGCCTGGTTTCTGCTCCTTCCATGTTTGTACTGAGTTGGGGAGAGGCTCCAAATGAGGCTGCCAGCTGCAGTCTGCTCTGTCACATCTCATGCATGTAAATAGCTTAGACATCCTGCATAGGAATATGCTTGCCTGAAGTTTTAGTTCTTATAACCAGAACATATTTTTCTTGTTCTGTGAAGGTCCTCAGTCAGCCTTGTCTGCAGCAGGCCTTTTGCTCGATGTTTCGTCTTTTGGAGCATTGCATCCAAGTGGTGGAGTCTCAAATGCTGATTCAGGTAAGAACCAGTGTGGTGAGCAAGGTTAGAGACAACACATATCCAGCAAGTCATTTGTCAGCACAGATTGTTGCTAACAATAAAAGATGCATTCGCCTGTCCTGCTCCTGCTGCAACCTTGCTTTCTGTTTCGTGGCAGTCACAAGAACCTTGGCCCTCAAAATGCAGAGTGAAGAGATTGTGCCTTCTGGCATTCATAAGACCAGGTGACAGGTAGCAGATTTGCTGCACCCTCACCAATAAACAAGTGGTGGCTGGAAGATAGAGAAATTTCAGCTTGGAAAGGAAAGTATTTCAAAGATTTTCTTCCTCCACAAATGCAGGGGACAACAAGGCTGGGCATATTTGGTTATGGGGAGTATAGCTCGCATGCATATCAGGTTGGGTGTAGGTATAATACCATGGCTTGAATCCCCCCACCCCAAATACAGATCTTCGACGTGGTCTCTGTGCTTCACACCCATGGGATCTAGTGTGCACGTACTGGATTGATCGGCATTGTAGCAAGCTCTTAACGGATTTTTGCACCCAGACCTCGGGCATGCACATGCCCAGACCCCCCCGCGCATGCCCAGAGGGGTGGGTGCGGACATCCCGCCAGTTCCTTTCTTACTGCCGCGTTGGAAAGTTTTTCTTCATCGGTCTGATCGGTTTGCTTTTTTGGCTAACTTTGCCTCACGGCTCTTCGGATTTTTTCCTCACTTTTATTATTCTCACTCTTCTTTGTTTGTTCTTCGAAAAAACTTTAAAAAATTGTTTTTCATGTTGAGGGGGGAGTTGCCAGTTTTACCTCAGTTTAGCCTTCGGGCTCCCCCCCCCTTCTTTTTCCTCCTTTTGGTATTTTTTATGGAGAAGAAGTGGGGCTTTTTCAACCGCTTGTAAGGGTTGCGGCAGCAAACTAGCTCCACTTGACCGCCACACCCTTTGTACTTTTTGTTTGGGTGAGTCTCATCGACCTGAGTCTTGCCGGCACTGTGCTAGGTTTTCTAACCAGACAAGAAAAAACCAAGCTGCGCACCTTACAGTAGCGCTCCTTGAGTCGGCTTTACATCCTTCCTCAGCGATGGAGTCCGAGAGACCATCGACATGGATGGCTCTGGCATCGAGGCCTGCCTCCGACATCGGCCAACCAACATCGAAACCACTGGCATTAAAGGCGCAATCCTCCACTTCCACTCCAGTGAAGAAGAAGCCCAAGCCAAGTAAGGAGCACAAGTCCGCAAAAAAGGGCTCCTCTAAGTCCCTAAAGGCGGCAAAGAAAGGGGAAGGTAGCGGTATCTGCACTAGGGATGCCCCAAAAGTGCCTCCTGCTCCAACGGCAGTATCGACATCGGAGGTCCATGCCCCTCCACCAATACACACCATCCAGCTCCTGGACTCCCCTATACAACAGCTCGAAGAACGTCCTTACTCCGATATCGAGACGGTACAGCTCCTTACTCGTCCTATGGATGCAGAGGCTTCTCCCTCTCCTTCCCTGTCGTTGACTTTGACGGTGTCAGAGGCTCCCGGCATCGATTCACATCGGAATTGACACGCCTCTAGCAGCACGCAGCGTCACCCTCCACGTCTGCGTCTTGAACCTGCCGATATCGATGACCGAGATTATAGGGACCACTCTCACAGACAAACTGCTCCTTTGTCTCCGAGACGTCCTCGTTCCAGAAGTCGATCCCCCCCGAGTCTTTATTCCACCACCACCACCTCTGTCTTGGGATCAACGCCAGCTGAGGTATCTCTACGGGGGTTATCCACCATCCATGCCGTGGTTGACTCCGGCGGGTTATTCAGACTGGGATCGGTACTCGACTCACTCTGTCCACAGATCAAGGTCACCCTACAAATCCAAACCTTCAGCATCTCTGTCTCGTCCTCCGGCAGACGATCCTTCCCACCATAATCCAGAATTTTGTCGTCCCAACCCCCAAGTCGTACCACCAAAGATTTTAACTACTCAAACGGAAGTCACTCCTATTCAAGTGCCAGATCAGGACTCCTCTAATTCCACAGGATTCTGATACCAAGGCCTCTGAGGTTGACACCTCCCCTGACCATAAATCTCCTAACCAAGCTGTCACAGATGATCTCCCTATATCTCCATCTGACAATATCACGTCCTATGCAGACCTCGTGAAAAGAATGGCCCATTCTCTAGGCCTCTCAGTCATTCAACACCAACCTCAGGTTACAGATGCTGTTATCCATATCGTGCAATTGGATACCTCTACTACCTTTGCACTGCCCATGTCTGCGGTCCTTCTACAAGCTGCGAAAACACCATGGGAGAAGCCTTCAGCGGCCCCAGTGTCAACAAGACGCCTGGACCAGATGTACAGAGTCCAGGAGACCGGAGCGGAATTTTTATTTTACCACCCTCAGCCCAACTCGATGGTTGTTACATCCTCATCCAAATCAAAACGAACGCACTCTGCACCTTCTGACAGAAGAAGAAGAAAATAAGAGATTGGATTTATACCCCGCCCTTCACTTGGAGTCTCAGAGCGGCTTACAAACTCCTTTCCCTTCCCCTCCCCACAACAGACACCCTGTGAGGTGGGTGGGGCTGAAAGAACTCTGACACAAACTGCTCTTTTTCAAGGACAGCTGTGCCGGAGCTTGTGACTGACCCAAGGTCACATCAGCAGGTGCAAGTGGAGGAGGAGTGGGGAATCAAACCCGGTTCTCCCAGATTAGAGTCTGCACACTTAACCACTACACCAAACTGACAGGGAAAGCAGAAAATTGGACGCGTTTGGGGGACGCTTCTATTCCACGGGAGCATTGGGCGTGAAAACCACAAATTATTTAGCCTGCATGAGCAGGTATCAGTACACTCTTTGGGAAAGGTTCTCTGAATTCCTGACACACCTCCCCGAAGACAAGCTTCAGGCAGCCAGAATTATCCAGAAGGAGGGCGTGGTACTCGCGAAGCAGCAGATCAACACTTCCAAAATGCCCTAGACGCTTCCTTGAGAACAATGGCCTCAGCAATAGCTCTAAAAACAGCATTCCTGGCTCCGTAATACCAATCTCCCTCAAGATACTAGGTCTTATGTCGAAGACCTTTCTTTCGATGACCTTGGTCTCTTCAACAGCACTACTGATACCATACTCCAAGATAAGGATAAGAGCATAAAGGCCTCTCGCGCTCTAGGAGTGTCATCTTCCACGAGGCAGCAATATCGCCCTCGCACCTGGTCTAGGCCCTGGCAAAGACGCACCCCGAATCGTCAGTCTCCTGACAGACAATGGTGACTGCGTATGTCTTCGGAAGGCCAAAAACCAACCTTTCAAAAACCCAGGTTTGGATCCGGACAGCAGTCGTCTTGCACCAAGCAGGCGAAGTCTTCCAAGCAGGGTTTTTGACTTCCCTCCCACCGAGTCAGCTCAAACCCAGCTTTCTCCCTTCCCTCACACCTGGCGTCATATCACCACGGATGAATGGGTGCTGTGCATCGTGACCCAAGGCTACTGTATCCAACTCCACCAGAACGCCATTACGCATGTCGTCGTCTCTACACCCCCTTCCCCACCTCTCCTAGAGGAGGTGTCCATCCTTCTGCACAAAGGAGCCATTGAGCCGGTACCACCATGTCTACACGGGAAGAGGTTCTATTCCCGCTATTTTACGGTTCCAAAGCGAGATGGAGGCATTCGACCTATATTAGACCTAAGGGTGTTGAACTGCTATGTCACCTACCACCGCTTCCGCATGGTGTCATTGCAGCAGATTATGCCACTCCTGCAGAGAAACGTCTGGATGGCCACCCTCGACCTCCAAGATGCGTACATCCACCTCACCATCCACCCCTCCCACTGCCAATACCTACGCTTTGCAATTGGTCAACAGCATTACCAATATGCAGCCCTGCCATTCGGCCTCTCAAGCGCCCCAAGAGTCTTCACAAAGACTATGATTGTCGTTGCAGCTTTCCTCCGTCTCAGGGGTATTTCCATCTACCCCTGTATCAACGATTGGCTTTTGGTCGCACCTTCCGAGAATGCACTGATCTCAAACATCAGCGAGACACTGGCACTCTTAGAAAATCTGGGCCTACAGGTCAATTGGGAAAAGTCTCAATTATGTCCAGTCCAAAGAATGCAATACATTGGTGCTATATTGGATTCCAAGACATGCATGGCTTACCTGCCTCAGGACAGAGCGGCAGACATAATTTCTTTAGCCACCGTCATATATACCCAACCTTCTGTCACTGCCTTCCAAATTCAGAGGCTTCTCGGCCTTATGGCTGCAACTACGTCGGTTCTCGTCTTTGCCAGACTAAAAATGTGTTGTCTACAACTGTGGTGGAAGCGGCACATAAACTTCCTGGAACTGCTTGCAATACAGTTCGCTGTCACCAGCTTCCTACCTCTGATCAAGGGGAAGTGTGTTACGATCCTCACGGACAACACTACTGCACTCAGTTATGTCAACAAGCAAGGGAGCACTGTCTCCTACGCCTCTGCAACCTTACCATCCAGTTGTGAAACCTTTGCATCGCCCACAATGTTTTCTGGGTAGTCACACACATCCCAGGACACATGGATGTGCAGGCAGACCACCTAAGTCGAGCAGGACTCAGCCTTCACGAGTGGGAAATGAACCCAGCCTACCTCCTCCCACTCTTTTGCAGGTGGGGAGTTCCCCAAGTCGATCTTTTTGCCTCCAGAGCCAACAAAAAGTGTCCTTTATTCTGCAGTCGAGGTGGCAGGGACCCACAGTCTCTAGGGGACGGTCTCCTCTATCCGTGGTCCACAGGGCTTCTTTACCTGTTCCCTCCGCTACCCCTGCTTCTAAGAGTGGTTTGCAAAATCATCAGCGATGGAGCGAACTGCATCTTGATAACCCCGTGGTGGCCGAGGCAACCATGGTTCTCGACCATCCTCGAATTGTCAGCAGGGGTCTATCACCAATTCCCTCCGGCACAGGACCTCCTCTTCCTGTCCGACTCCCCTCTCCTGTACCACGACGTGCCACAGATGAAGTTGACTGCCTGGAGAATAGCGTCAACAGCTTTTCCACCCGCGTAGCTAACGTCTTACTAAATGGAAGAAAGCCTACTACGCGAAAGTCCTACCATTACAAATGGCAAAAATTCTGTTCCTCCTTGGGTGATGATGCCCCTCAAGCCACCTCAGTGGGTCTTGAGAAAGTTTTCCAATTCCTCCTGTCCCTCGCTGACTCAGGACTTTCTCACTCCTCGTTAAGAGTTTATTTGGCCGCTCTTTCGGTCTACCATGTTCAAGTTGACGGATGCACTCTGTTTTCGCATCCGCTTGCAAAACTTTTTTAAAGGGACTGTTGCACCTTTACCCTCCCATCAAAACTCCTGTAGTTCCCTGGGACCTTCCTCTAGTTCTTCGTCAGCTCACGAGGAAACCCTTTGAGCCACTCGCAACGTGTGACCTAAAATTCCCGTCATGGAAGACGGCCTTTCTGGTTGCTGTCACCTCTGCGAGGCGAGTTGGAGAAATACTGGCTTTCAGACACGGCACGCCTTACTTGTCCTTTTTGCCAGACGGTCTCTGCCTCGTCCCTGACATCTCGTTCCTGCCAAAGGTAGTGTCAGAGTTCTACCTACAGGCAGAGGTCTTCCTCCTGGATTTCTTCCCGGCTCCAACAGGACAGACTGTTACACACCTTAGATGTGAAACGTGCGCTCCTGTTCTACCTGAACAGAACCCGTCCAGCGAGACGTGACTCCCAACTGTTCGTCTCATACGCACCAGCAAGGCTGGAGACTCGCATCATGGCTCAGCGCCTCTTGAGTTGGATTGCGGGTCTCATGCGCCTCTGCTACCTGATTGCCAAACAGCCATTGCCTGGCCCGATCAGGGCCCATTCAACTCGAGCTGTTGTGGCTTCCACTGCCCTTCTCCAGGGAGTTCCCCTAACGAACATATGCAAAGCCGCTACGTGGGCCACGCCTAACACCTTCATAAGGCACTACGCCCTAGACATCCGTAAGAACTCTTAATACAGACATGGGACGTCGCATTCTATCTTCGGCTACGCAGTAAGGACCTGCCAGCACCCTCCTCCAGGTAGGCCACTGCTCGCTAATCTCCCATTGGTGTGAAGCACAGAGACCACGTCAAAGATAAACAGGTTGCTTACCTGTAACTGATGATCTTTGAGTGGTCATCTGTGCATTCACACCACCCACCCTCCTTCCCTGCTGCTGTCAGCTTCTACATTTTCCATAGGGGTTGATTTGCGGCGGTTCGAAGGAACTGGCGGGATGTCCGCCCCCACCCCTCTGGGCATGCGCGGTGGGGTTCCTGCGCATGCCTGAGGTCTGGGCGCGAAAATCCATTAAAAGAGCTTGCTACAATGCCAATCGATCCAGCGTGTGTGCACTAGATCCCATGGGTGTGAATGCACAGATGACCACTCGAAGATCACCAGTTACAGGTAAGCAACCTGTTTTTCTGTCTCTTCATGGCTTTTACGATGGTTTGGTGTTGCATCTATATAGCCTGGATCCCCATCAATCAGGGTCTGAAACAGGCTAGTAAACCTGATTTAGAGCACTAACCTGACTCCCAGTTTGCTTCCAGATATAATTCAAATTGCTGATGTTGACCTAGAAAGCCCTAAGCACTCCAGGACGTGGGTAGCTGAAGGTCTGCCTGTTGCTCTTTCAGATGCTAGGTGTCTGCTAGATAGAGAACCTCCTACGTGGTTATGCCCCATTTGTGGAACACCTTCTCAAGGCACGTTGGCCTGGCACTTCTTTTGTAGACAAGAGGTGAAATCTGTACAGGCCTGTAGCCAGCAGGGTGTGTGTGTGTGCACGGGCTCTGCCCCCTTTCAGATTTGCCCTGCCTCCACTCCCTCTCCCCCCTCCTACTTCACAGGGCGTCTGTTGCGGGGAGGGGAAGGGAAAGGGATTATAAGCCGCTTGTCCGATCCCTCACAGCTATAAGTCCCATACACGTTTAAGCAAAGTAGTATTTTATTAAAGCCATGTTAGAGCAGGAACAAGTGCACTGTTAAGAATACCTGGGACGGGCTGAACAGGGGATAATGAAAGACATTCAAACAGACAATAACCAATAGAGTTGGTTCCCACCGCGCGGGCAGACTTTCATATTCGCGCTCAAAAGCCTGAGAAGCAACGTTTCTATAAAGATAAACAATTAAAACTTCACACGGTCCAGCTCATTATAGTCTAAGCTAAGCGGCTCCTTCTCCCCACCTGTTAACCTTGCAGATAAGCGTACACTAGAGTTCATAGAATGGAATGCATGACACAGGGATACACACAGAACACAGAGGCGGCATGTGCAGATGCCAGACGAGAGAGGGGGTGTGACGAGGGGGGGGAGAGTGCCCTGAGCTTTCTTTCCTGGGCCATTACGTTGACCCTGCTGGTGGGATAGCTGAAGCTGTGGCAGGAGCCTCCTTTACAGGTTGGTGGTTGTCCCTGTTTTAATGCCATCTTGTTTGTGTTTATGAATTCAGAAGCCACCTTCAATGTCCTACTCCTGCAGAAATGCAGCACAGAATTCATTTTAATGCTAAGGAAGATTCATCCCGGGGATGGGAGGGTAGGTTAGTGGTATGTAAACTTTTGAGGTGTTTCTGTTCTCCTGATGAGGTGCAAGGGATTGGTAGCATTATGTCTGCTCTGGGGCTTTGGAGTTCCTGTGAGCAAGCAGGTTAGTGGTATGTGAGCTTTTGAGGTGTTTCTGCTCTCCTGATAAGGTGTAAGGGATTGGCAGCATTATTGAGGTGTAAGGGATTGGCAACAGACTCTGGGGCTTTGGAGTTCCTGTGAGCAAAGAAATGGCAGTGTGTACCCAGCCCTTTGCGTAGTGTGAAGTTTCCAGTTGTATTGACTAGTTATGTCTAAAAACATTAGGATAAACTGGTTGGGTCAGGCTTTCCATGAAGCATTTGTTTCAGCGGCTGATTCCAGAATGGGTGCGGCCTTCTTTCTTTGTGTGTCTTTAAAATAAACTGGCTGCACCAGAGCATGAAGGGGGCACCAGTCTGCCTCCGTGCTTCAAAGAAAAACTTGGGACTTCACTTGTTGACAGTTGCAGGTTGGCACACTCCTTGCGTCGTGTCTTACTGGTTGGACATGAATGTGCCACTTTAGACATTAAACAGAAATTTGTTTCTATCATACTCCCTTTAATTTTGATAGTTCTTAAACTTCTCTCTTCATGTAGGTATTGATATTGCAGAATTCTCTCCTCCAGCTGAATCCCCCGGACCATGTTCTGCTTGCAATCTTAGATTTTCTCTCTTCAGTGGGGAAATTATGTATTCCCCCAGATTTTCAGGTAAATATGGTGGACTGTTATTCTGTCTGTCCCTTGGGTAGCTTTCTGTATGTGTCCTTTATGGTAAAGACAATGAAACAAGGTACCAGAATCTTGAAAATTATTTTATCAACAGCAGCCATCAAGTAGTTAAGGAAGGTCCAAGTAAACAGAGTCTGAAAACTCAGTAATCCATGAAGGAAGGTATAGACAGAGTAAGACCCCTTAGTCCTCCAGACAGAGTTTGTCACTCTTAATAGGCATAGTGGAGTTTATTTCAGCCTAGAAGTCACTGATCCCTGGCAGCTTCGGTTTCAAACCGACACTTTCTACACTGTTTAATATTGTACTATGGTAGTGTACATGTGGGCAAACCAGTGGCTGGGCCAGTATTTTGTTTGTTGCTTCATTTTGGGGGTTGGGGAATATGGTTTCTTTGTCAGCAAAGTTGGCTGTGGATTTCCTATTGTCAGGTTGTAACTTTAATAATATTCCAAGAAGGGCAATCAAGGGATTGTATAGGGATATAAGCACAAATAATAACTGTGGTTTTTTTGCTTGTTAGGTACAAGTTCTGTCCAAGCTGTCCTGTCTGTTTGCTTCTTTGCTCGCCAGCAATAGCTGGCTGATTCATCAGCATGCCCTAGTGGCGTTCGTTCAGTTTGCAGAGGTAAGAGCTCTGGGGCAGGGGCGAATGGGCATAGTCACCCCCCAAATTAAGCCCTTTTCAGCCCATACCATACTTTACTCTCACCCATTGACATCAGTAGGGCTTAACAGAGGCCCTGTTCAGCTAAAAATAGTTGCAACAAACAAGTACCGTCGTGGCTGATGCTACTCATGTTATGGTTAAATTGCTGGATCGGGGTCAAAAAGGGTCATTCTCTATGTCACATCAGCACTGCTACAAGCATACATATGCGGGCAGGCATATTTGCCATTAAGAGACAGGCTGTTGAGGAGAAATGAACACATGTGCTAAAACTTGCCGTTTTCTGTGCAGCAGCTCCGTACCACTTCAGACTGGTATTTCAGCAGCAGCAACTTTTAACTTTGATTTTTATCGGCTACTTGTTATCTTACGGAGCTCGAGGTGGCTCATAAAATACATAAAATGGATTACATAAAAACACAGAAAACCAACATTTTAAAATCAGAATCACGAAATCATAATTTAGGACTGCTTTAATCAAATACTTGAGGTATATGGTTAAAAACCAGCAGTATGGAATTTTAAAATCAAATTAAAATATAGGTATTGGTTGGCAAAGAGTGAGAAGAAAATGTAGGCGCCTGGACTTCACATGGTTTTGTTCGCAATTCTAGAACAAAGTGCTTTCAGATGTTTTAGGGAAGTGCCATGGCGGTCATTGATTCTTGCTGTCGAAGTAACCTAGTAAACAGTTTGGGGGTGTTTTGAGTGTATGTGAACATTTCCATTTCTTTCTTAAGGAAACAAGCCATGAAGACATAATTCCCCAGTGCCTCAGCTCTGAAGAAACTAAAAGCAAAGTTGTTTGCTTCCTGTCAAAGGTACTTTATATAGAAATTATAAAGCTGCTACTGGATCAGGGCTTTAAAACCAAGATGGTTTAATTGTTATAGCAGCCACTGGGTATGCTTCCCTGTTCAGGAAACATGTGAATTTCAAATCTTTTGAATCAAGGTTTGAATCTTTTTTGGGGGGTTAGGGTGGGAAGAGTCCCCTTGGTGACTTTTAAGTCACTGCCTAATGTGACTTGTCTTTTTTGTTGTGCTATGCATGTGCCATCCCTCCTCTGATAGTTTTATTCCAAGTTCCTGTTATCCTGTTCTGTGGAAATGCCACCAGCAACTGGCAAAACAAATCACCATTAGGAGAGGTTACAGCATAGCTGCCGGCTTGTCTCTCATGCAGAACTTTGTTATAATGGGTTATAGCTGAGGGAAGGACACAGAGAGAGAAGCCCTGATTGCAAAGAATGGACTTTATAGTCTGTTAGAGTAGGGGAATTGGAGGAATTTGGTATCTTTATTTTTGGCTTTGAATAGTTTGGTCAGTTCTTTGTCAGTGGAGGAGAGAGTGCACATCAGGTTACTCCTCCCACTTGCTTTTTCATGGTGGTAGAAAGTGCTGTCATCACAGCCAACTTACTTTTTATTTATTTTATTTACTTTATTTCCTGTCTTTAACCCTAGTGGGGACCCAGAGCAGCTCACAACATTTTTCTCTCCTCTGTTTTATCCTCACAACAACCCTGTGAGGTTGGCTAGGCTGGGAGTGTGTGACTGGCCCCAGGTCACCCAGAGAGGTTCCATGGCACAAATGGGGATTCAAACCTGGATTTCACAGATCCTAGTCTGACACTTTAACCACTACACAACGTATGGCGACCCTGTACGGTTTTCAAGGCAAGAGACATTCAGAGGTGGTGTGCCACTGCATTCCTCTGTAGCAATCCTTGGAGGTCTCCCATCCAAATGCTAACCAGCACCAACCCTGCTTAGCTTCGAAAGATTGGGCTCGCCTGGGCCATGCCCTTTAGGGAAGGCTATGTAAATGAGCTGGGTTTCTAGCCCAAAGAACTGCAGGGAGGTAGAACTTTCCACATCCGGTTCAGTTGGCTTCTTTTTTCCTTCTCCCCCCCCACCTCTTTCCCAGGCCAGCAGCAAGTGGGGTGTGTGCGTGCGCTTTTGGTACCATTTGAGGCTGAGGGTGCAATTTGCCCCCTTTTCCTACTTGTCTCTCTCCTCCAGCACCCAGCACCTGGGCCAGAACAGTGGCTCTGGGGACATCCAGCATCTTGTAACCTTTGGGACAGGCTTACCTGAGGAGGGATGCGGGGCTCTTTTTTCCCCAGACTAGAGCCTTTTGCTGACTGCTTGAAATTGAGTTTCTGTATATCTAAACTAGTTCTCTCTGGTTGGTCTTGCTAGCTTGTGACTTGGTGTAGTTTCTTGCTGTTCACTGAATTTGGTTCTGTCACGGCATTAAGGTCATCTTTATTACTGTTTCTCCAATTGCAAGCCTCTTCAAGCTGTATGAAAAGATGTGGCTACAGATGTTGTTAAATCAGCCTACAATTGGGTGATCTATTCTCTGGTGGATAATGTGGCTGCCTCTCCTTAGTTACTCCTCCTGTGGCCTTTTCTCCCAGGGCTGCCGTGCAGAGGAGGTGGCGGAAGCCAGAGCAGAACGAATGAAAGAGGAAAACGGTCTTTTCCATCGCCTCCTGGTAGAGGCTCGAGCAAAGAGACAAGGAACTGCAGTATTAGAGGTACGTTGTGCTCTTGGGGGTGAGGAGCCTCATCAGAGGTGGAGGTGCCAAATGTCAGTAATGCCCCATACCCACCGTCATTTGAAAAAAGTAGTCCTCTGTCAACAAAGGAGGTATTTTTGGCTGGATAGGCAGTCTCACTAGGCCAACTGACCTGTGAAAAGGAAGCCAGGAAGCGGTTCTGCTCCACAGCTTGTTCTGGTAAGAGGGCAGAAGGGTGGACAGGAGGACTTCCAGGATTCATTTTTCTCCTGAACAGCCACTTTGTTTTTAGGAACTGCCATGGAAGGATAAAGTTTTGAAGCAGAGAGACCATAAGATGCATTCTGAGGCAACTGGGCTTTGCGGTAGCAGCCCCTTTCCCATCATTGAATTTCTGTGGCTGGAATCCAGGTGTTCCTACAGCACCCATCATTATGGGGCTCGTGGTGGAATGTCTTAAGCAACTGCACCACTGACACATGAAAATCACTAGGGGAGGAACTACTTTTAAAGCACGTGGCTAGAGGTGGCTGTTTCCCAGAGTGCTGCACCCTCTTCTTTGCCAGCGCAGGCTGGGCTGCCAGCTTCTGGCAGAAAACACAGTCTGGGCAGGATCTACCCAGCGTTTAGACATTTGTGAGCAATTCTACATAAACTAGAGCCTGAAGAGCAAATGCCAGCCCATTAAGCTCTCTGGGGCTTTGAGTGTGTGTGTGTGTGTGTGGGGGGGGTCCTCTTACATTTGTTAATGGTTTTACTGTTGGGGATGCCATGCCATAGAAGTATTCTTGTGTTTCAACCTGCAGTCCTCCCCCAAAAGAACGTGCTACTCACCCAGTGAGAGGCAATATGAGTCTGCGATCGACGGTGCTGCAGGGGCACTGGAGGCTGTGAAGCTCCTGCTGCAGAAGGGCCCGCCCCCAACGTGGCTTGCCAAGAAACTGGAAGCATTGCAGGCCACACTGAACAGCCTGAAGGACAGCACACGGTGGCCACCCTGATGCTCTCACCTCTGGACCCCTTCAGGACTTACTGTGAGCAGCAGCTGCCGCCGTTCTTGGTTAAGCCTGTTTTGGTTTGTACGTGTCACACAGCAGCCTCTTGACTGGAAGGGTGAAGGTACTACTCACCACGGGCTAAAATACTTGCAACTTTCTCAGACTGCCGCTTTAAGGACTGGGCTTTTTTTAATGACTTAATGTAGTTCAAAACAAACACTCATTAGCTTCAGAGTGGTTTTCATTCAAAGGATATACCTTCTGGAAAACAGAAACCTCAACAATGGCAGATAGGTGGGAACAAAACTCACCCCATAAGAACAAAATAGATTTGTTGCTGTTCTGCCTTACAGACCCATTCTCAGGTCCGTTTGCACAAGAGCTTTTGGAGAATATTTGTCATCATATCTTGCGCATCTTAATAGGTGCACTGTGAGGCTTCATTTTCTAACTAAACAGATGGTACAGACACAACGAGTGAATTATCCATTTATTTTTCCTAGTGTTCTCCATAAACAACTCTTCCAGAAAGATAAAACAATCTATCTTCAATGCATCCCTTCAGTCCCAGAGCTTTTTTTCTAGCACCGAGGGCAGTAGGTCCGTCTTGCAGGTTAGAAAAGTAAATACTTGTTCCAACTAGGAAGAAATTGAGGGGTTTTTTGCTGCTTGTGGAGAGAAAATTGTCCAGGGCACAGTAGAAGCAGCAAACTCCAACACAAGCAAAGGTCCGGTGTCACCAGGTGGTTTCATCTTCCCACTTTAGCTCCTCCTCTTCTTCCCAGCCAACATCATCTACCTGGAATAATTACACAAACATCAGAATCCCTTGTGGCCTTGCTGGCAAAAACTGATTAACGTACCTAGGGAAGCTAAAACAAAGAACAGGTCAAAACAAGTTTACCCTGGGGAGGTTTTTTAGTTTGTAGAAAATAAAGCAGGAGTCCACTATCACTTTACAAAGTGACAACAAACTTATGCTAGGATATACTATTAAATCAGATGCATGCATTGTACACTGCAAAGAGGATGGCTGAGAGAAGGAAGACATATTACAGAGAGAGGCCAATTTAAGGCCCCTGGCCAGAGAGGACCACTCGCTGTGTTGGCTGGGGGTATAGGAGGGAAGCGAGTGCCTCAGATAGGGAAGGGTCGGGGAGTTTCGTCACTCCCCGAGTCACCTTCCTCGGGGTCGACAGCCGCGTCTCTTGTCTCTCTAGCTTGCCTAGCCAGTCGCCTCCGAAATCCTCCCACTCTCCTTGCTTCCCTCCTTTTATCTTCCTTGCGTAACACCTCCCTTCCCCTTCCCAGTACTCTTACTGCTCTCTTAACCTGCCCGTCACCTCTTCTATCGTCCCTATGGTGTGTTTCTCTCCTAGTCCCACCCTCTTGTGGTTCCCCCTGGATCTCGCCCTGAGTTGGGGAGTGGCCACTTCTGGTGTGCGTAAGGAGCCTGACGCTGTCTGCCGCAGCCTCTCCAACCCTTCTCCCGTGGGTAAGACCGGGTTTCTCCAGTTGCCTCACACTCAGGACTGTGCGTGTCCCCCTTGCGTCGGCGGGTTAGGGGATGAGCCCGTCTCCGCCCGTTTCTCTGACGTCCTTCTCCGTGGAGGGAGTGGGGTGGGCCTTCCAAGGGCTTCTGGTTGTCCGCCTGCGACCTTTCCCATATTGTGACGGCTGCAACCCTCGTTGCCCCACGAACCCCCTCCCCAGGGAGTTCTGTCTTCCAGGGTACAATCCACTCAAGTCGATTTCCACCCAGTTGCTTGCAGCCTGATTATATATTCATTGGTTTTATGCTTCTTCATACACCTGATTAAGTTAGCTCTGACTCACCAAAAGTTACGATGAAATAAGTTCCTAGTCTCTTTAAGTGTCACTAGACTTCTATTTTATTGTGCTGCTACAGACTGCCACTGCTACCCATCTGGAATTAGTTTGTCCAGACATAAGCAAACTTTAACCTGGGAAACCGCAAAGTCTTCATGTTACTCACAAAAAGTACGGACCACCAGACGGTATTTGAAGGAGGGAGCACAGTGGCTCATGAAAACCCCTCCCCGGCCACAAATTTTGTTAGTCTTTAAGGTGCTCCTGGACTCCTGCTCTTTTCTACCACCAGTGGACTACAAAGTAATTGGTTGCTGCCATTAATTTGAGAACTACTTAAGGCAGCATCCCTCTATCGTAATCAAATGGCTAACAAAAGCACACAACATTATGTGTGCACTGTCTCCCCCAGAACTCTAAGAGTATACTGGAACCGCCAAAGCTCATGTTCTGCTTTTCACAAACTCTTTGCACCAAGGGCTAAATGTTGACAGTTCAAACACAATTTGTGCTGCATAGCCATTTTTTTAAAATGGGTCATATTGCTTTTTTATTAAAACTGCAAGAAACCAGTTCCCAAGGCGCAGTGGCTGCTTCTGTGGAGTGTGGAGTCCCAGGGCACTCTGCCTCAATGTGAAGTTAGCCCTGTGGCGATATGAAAAACACACTGAGCTCACTCTAGGTTACAGGAGCATCGAGCCCCCTGGCCATTTGGCTCTCCCTTGCAGCCTCACAGAGAGAGTCAGCCTGCAGTGTGGGTTCGGTGTATGAAGGTAAAGGTAAAGGTTCCCTTGCTCGAAAGCCAGTCGAATCCGACTCTAGGGTTGCGGTGCTCATCTCCGTTTCAAAGCCGAAGAGCCAGCGCTGTCCGAAGACGTTTCCGTGGTCATGTGGCCGGCATGACTAAACACCAAGGCACACGGAACGCTGTGACCTTCCCACCGAAGTGGTCCCTATTTATCTACTTGCAATTTCTTGCTTTCGAACTGCTAGGTTGGCAGGAGCTGGAACTAGAGACGGGAGCTCACTCCGTCATGCGGCACACTCGGGTCTCGAACTGCTGAACTACCGACCTTCCACAGCCTGCAGTTCAGCGTCTTAACCACTTGAGCCACCGCAGCTCCTGTATGAAGGGTGTATGAAGGGCAGACAGCAAATCATAACGGGCTTCGTCATCGGATTGCGTACATGGCGATATGAAAAACACACTGAGCTCACTCTAGGTTACAGGAGCATCGAGCCCCCTGGCCATTTGGCTTTCCCTTGCAGCCTCACAGAGAGAGTCGGCCTGCAGTGTGGGTTGGGTGTATGAAGGGCAGACAGCAAATCTTAACGGGCTTCGTCATCGGATTGCGTACATTTATGGAGGCCATTGCATTTAGAAAGAGGGGGGTCTGTTTCCATGACAGTTTTGGGGGGAGCTACTCTAAAATTACTGGGAAAGCTATGTATGGTTCTCCAGATTGGTAAACTGGGGTGTACAATCTCTACACAGAAGGCTGCCAAAAGTCTTTGTATTGCTTTGTTCCCTTGCTTAAACAGGTCAGAGCAATCTGAGTAAAGCAGTGGAGTTCTGTGCCCCAAGAACGCAGCCCTCAATCCTCACCTCTGTAACTGCAGCAGCTGCAAATTTGGAAGAAAACCGCACCTTCTGAGCATCACCCAGACTGCTGGAAACTGCATCTAAGTTGCTCTGAGCAACGGGGTGGGGCCCCAGCTCTGGCAAAATCAGGAGCGCCGATGCAGGTTTGATGTCTGGCACCATATCAGCAAACCAGTCCAGTTCAGGGTCATGCGACTCCTTCTTCTTCACCTGGATCGTGAATTCCTCTCCTAAACTGCATTCCCACTTTGGAGACCTTTCCAGATGTGACGCCTTGGGCTGCCTGGAGCTTTTGTCCCACAGGTCCTTGTGGTCATAACCCTCACTGCTGCTGCCAGGCCCAGAGGAAGAATTCGAAGGTAGAGTTCTAGATTCTCTTTTGAGCTCCAGCATACTGGGAGGGAGCCGAGGCTCTGCGATGTCACTGGGCCTGTTTCCTGAGGAGCTTTTAAAGGGAGGGTTGTGAGCCACATCGGCCCAAGTTTTCTTATCTGTGAGATCATGGTTGGTAAGACAGGGACCACTGCCGGCATGGAACTCTTGCGTTTCCGTATTGACAGTTGCGTTTTTCTCAGTCTCTGGCTCCTCACACTCACTCCAGTCCGGCCATTCCTCTGTTGTGTTCTCAGTTCCCAGTGGGCAGCTACCATCGTCCCTCAATGGGTTTAATCCAGCAGGAACACCATTCAAAGAGCAGGAAGCGTCTTGTTCCCCTGTGGAAGGCACACAACATCATATCTGCTCAAGTAACGAGCCTGACAATCCTATCAGGACTATGCGCTAGAGTAAAAATGCTTGCAAATGCCTCTTTGGACCTCCTTCCAAGGGATGACTGCACCCAGTTTTCTCTCTCCACTGCACCCTCCCCACTACTCCATGGCATTTTGTCCACAAAGGCTCATCCAACCCACAGTATCAAGCTTTCTAGCCCTAACCCAACAGTGAACCTTGCCAAACAATTAGAAGGAAATGCTCATGTGATGAAGGGGAAAGTGGGCATCTCCCAGTCTAAAGTGGTGAAACGAAGTGCCATCAGGGTTTTGGGACAGCTTGATGCAAAAAAAAAAAAAAACCATTTGGAAGGCTTTAGCAGCAAGGAGTGAAATGTAATAAGGGGTAAAGTGATTACCTTTCCTTAAGGCCACACGAGAGTCTTGCCTTGGCACATGGTTCTTGTTGCTGAAGGATGTATTTCCAGAGTTGGGGCACTTGAAGAGGACTCCCGAAGGATTATTCTGCAGGGGTTTATACGTTTGCTTACTCTGGCAGCTCATTATGTGGGTGGGAGAGTCTGTAAGGATACACAAGCAAAATATACTTGAATTTATATGCTGCCATCAAGCTCTCAGCATGGCAGGACACAAAGGATCGGACTGTGCTGTTCAGACAGAAACCATCTGTCCCTTGCTCTGAAACTGACATAACCTTTAAACGAGTGGTCAGGGGACACACTCAGGTGACCTTATGGCACACAAATGGCCTTATTCAATTAGATTTGTATGCCGCATCTCGGGATATAAACAGCAAGGACGTAAAAACAAGCCAGGTCAGTAAAAACATGCAGGGGCATAAATGCAATATAAAACAGCAGTCTTCAGGCTAGGAGCAGATCATAAAACAAAGAAAGACAGATCTCTTTAGTTAAAGAGCACGGACAGTGTGAAGTGCTTTGGGCTGGAAAGGAAGGAAGGTGCCAGGCGAGCCTCAGGGGGAAGGGATTCCACAGGAGAGGCACCACCACTGAACTGGAAGAAGCCCTGGCTGGTTTGCTCTGCAAGGGGGCAGCACAGAGAAGAAATGGATCTGGTGGGCTGGACAATACTGGAAGAAGCAGGCCTTCAAGCACCCTGGCCCCAAGTTGTTCAGGGCCTTAAAACAGCCCATATTTTAAATTGTGCCTGGAAAAAGATGGGCAGCCAGCACAAATCTTCCAGCACAGGTGACAGGATCCTTGCAATCACCCCCTGACAATAACCTGGCTGTCACATTCTGGATCAGTTCAGAATTTCTGAACAAAGGCTGCTCCACCTGGATGCAATTGGATCATGGCTGACTGTAGCCAAATCACACTTTGAGGAATGGCCAAAGCTCGTGTATCCCCTGAAGCTGGTGAAAAGCACCATGTGGCCAGGATCTAGCAATATCCCGGGCTACGAACCTGCTCTAGGACAGGCTGACTTCTCAGTCCTCAAGTATCTTTTTCATTAACCACCAGTACCTCACATCCTGTTTAGCCTGAACTTCAGTTTATTGGCCCTCACTCCTCCCATTACCTTCTCCAGGAACATGTTCAGAGCTGGGAATCATCTGCATATTCGTGGAACCTCACTCCAAACCCCCAGAAGATCATTCCCAGTGGTTTTGTGTAGATGTCCCCCATGCTGTTAAACAAGACAGATCCCAGGAGGACTCCATAGCACAGATGCCATGGGGCCAAGCAGCAGTCACCCAGAACCTTGTTCTGGAATCACAGAGTTGGATGGGCCCGTACAGGCCATCTAGTCCAACCCCTTGCTCAATGCAGGATCAGCCTAGGGCATCCCTGACGAGTGTTTGTCCAGCCGCTGCTTGAAGACTGCCAGTGAGGGGGAGCGCACCACCTCCCTAGGCAGCTGATTCCACTGTTGCACAACTCTTGCTGTAAAAATGTTTCTCCTAATATCCAGCTGGTACCTTCCCGCCCTTAATTTAAACCCATGATTGCGAGTCTTCTCCTCCGCTGCCAACAGGAACAGCTCCCTGCCCTCCTCTAAATGACAGCCCTTCTTCAAATACTTCAAGAGAGCAATCAGTCAGCCACGTTAAGAGTGGAACCTCCAAAGCTCTCTGTCCCCTGCTCCCACCCTAGCCAGCTTCTCCAGACGGATATGATTCAAAGGTTGCCAAGAAATTCAGGAAAACCACCATGGATGCACTCTCCCTCTCCTGATGAAGACTGGCAGTCGGGGCGAACAAGGCTGTTTCCACCCTAAACGAAGATGCAAGTCTGGATTGAAATAGTTCAGATAATCCACCTCATCCAACAATGCCTGGAGTTGCATCACCCACCCAAGCACCTTGCCCAAGAATGTCATGTTGGTTTCCCGAGATAGCCAGAGCTACATATTTCCAAAGCGGCTTGTCCACAACATCAAGCCTTTCTATGATTCATCCATAACAACTGGAACTGATTGCGTCCCAACAGCATCCTGATTACTGACTACATAGATTTTTTTTAAGGTTAACACAAGTACTTCTTGAGGTGTTTTTCCTCCCGCAGAGAAGGGAATGTGTCTTTAAAGAGGCTGCCTGCTGCAGGGTGTGTATGAGAGAGATTTAAAAATGAAGAATGTTTTTCCCCAGAACTATTTTATTTACATGCATACATATGCAGTTTTAACAAAGCAACTCATACAACAAATAGACTAAGTTTTCTTTTGAGTAAAACCCTACTCATTCGTACTGATAAAGAGATGAGATGAGAACAAGATCTTGAAAACTCCACTGTGTACAGACCTGTGAAACAGAGAGATTTCTTATTTCTCAGGCACTGGTTAATTGAGGATGGCCTGTCTAAACTTTTCAGGTTGCTGCAGGCTGATTCAGATTCTCTGATCTGAATCGGCTTCCCACCGAATTGCCGCCAAATTTCAGTGACAATTCGGCCCCATTATATCCTATGGGCCATTGAAGTCAATGGCGAAAACATAGGGTATATTCTGGGGGCTGGAGGGGAGGGGGTTTGAGGGAGAGGCTCCAAACTCTCAGGGTAGCTGCTGGAGCCTCTCCCCAAGATACCAACCAAGTTACCAACCAAAAAGTAACTTTCCCCCCCACCATAGAGAACAATGGAGGGGATAGGGGCAACCTGTTTGAGGGCCCATAGAATTGGACCCCCTGGTCCAATGCTCTTGAAACCTGGTTGGTATCTTGGGGAGAGGCTCCAGCAGCTACCCTGCGAGTATGGAGTCTCTCCCTCAAGCCCCCTCCCCTTCAGCCCCCAGAATATACCCTATGTTTTTGCCATTGACTTCAATGGCCCATAGGATATAATAGGGCTGAAATTGACATTCGGCTGGCCCCCGAAGTGCTGGTACTGACGAAACTGACATGCGAGAGTCTTACTGCCAGCTGAAATTGATTCTGGCCGATTCGGCCAATCCAAATGGGGTGAATTTTTTTATTATTATTTTTGCACACCCCTAGTCTAAACAGACCCAGTATATGTGCTTCTGGAGGGAATCAATCATTTTTATTATATTTTTTAGGTGGACCAAGCAAACTTTACTATTCTCAATTTCACAGCTAGCAGAACCTGCCTGGCAAAGGCATTGATTCTTTCTCTGCCTCTAATATCAGGCACACTAATGTTTGTCACTGCATGCAGTACAGAAAGAAAAGAATGAACTCCCTCACATTAGACCCTAAGTCCCTTGACTTAGTCAAGAGAACTGTCAGACTCGAGAATCCCACACCCAGCGGTCTTCACCAAATCCATACCTAAGGTGCTGTCAGGCAGCTACAGACCACATCTTCTAACCAATAGCCCAAAGAAGACACTCCAAAACAATGTTAGCTAATGCCTAGAGCATACGGATCACAGGTGGTTATGCCTATATGGCCCCTCAGTTTTGAGGCCACATTTACTTCCTGGCCTAACCTACAAAGACTAGAGTGGCCAATCAGGACTATGGAGAGAATGTATCCCTCTGAGGCCAGTCCTAAGGCTGTTGTGCTTCTGATGGTGGTTGGGACCGTGGCTGTCTTCCTCCTGATGATACCCTGCACAAGGACCAGGCAGATTACAAAGATGAGATGATCTTCTGTGGGATCCAAAACTGCAGCCAATGGCACTGTTATCAGCTATCCTTGCATGGCTGAAGTCTCTTCAGGAACCTCTCTCAGATTAGGTGTCCAACACATTCAATGAAGTTTTCAACACGGTAGCCTTTCTAGCAGACATCACGTGGTATGCTGGCAAGGACCACAGCTGTAACTGGTGGTAAAGATGAGGCCGCCTCTGCCGTGTTCGAAGAGAGATCTCTTTGGCAAGTGTGTTGAGAAAGCTGCAACCAAGGTAGGAGGGGCATCCAAACCTTGCAGACATGGCCCTTCGAGGCAAGATCGCGTCTGTTTGCACCAGTCTCAATAATCCCAGTACTGGAGGAAGGCAATCCAAGCCATGCAGACCTTTCAAGACCTTTAAAAGTTCCAGATCTGGGGGGAGGGAGGGGGGGCGCAGGCTTCCAGCAAACGTGCCTCCACCTCTTTCGCTTCCCCAGGAGTTGCTGCCCACATACTTTCACACTGTTAAGTAGGAGGTTCCTTTTTAAAATCAAAACAAAAACCAGGAAGATTTTGGGGATCAAAAGCACAACTGGCTGCAATGCTGATTCTGTGCTGACTTGGCATGCACACAGATACACAGAACCTAAGACAAACTGGCACCTGCTCAATCTATTAGAAGTTGCCACATGGACAAGACCCCGTGGTAAGAATGCAAGTGACCTGCTGGATCAGACTCGGTCCAGCATCCTAGTCCGGTTCCACACAGAGGCCAAGGCCCTTGTTTGATGCTGCCTACCTCTGAATATGGAGGTTCCCTCCACTCACCATGGCTAATAGCCACTGCTGGATGGATCTACCCCCCCATGAATCTGACTCCCTTTTAAAGCCATCTGTGATGTTGGCCATCTCTACATCCGCTGGCACCGAATTCCAACATTTAATTATTTGTTGAGTTAAAAAAAAATCCTTTCTTGAACCTATTGCCTATCAACATCATTAGGTGCCCATGAGTTCTAGTATTCGTCTTCTCCCTCTATCCACTTTTTCCACCTCGGGCGCAATTTTACGCCCCCCAACCCCCCCCCCCCCCCCCCAGCAGTTTTTTTTCCTAAACGAAAAAGTTACAGTTCAGCCCTTCCTCATAGTGAGCTGCAATCCCTTGATAATCTTGGTTGCTTCTCCACTGCACTCTAAGATGCACTGGTTTCTTTGTACTGACTGCACAACACCCACCAGTTTCCCTATGCTTTGCACTGATTATCTAAACAACGCCCCACCCCCAAGGAGAAAGCCTGAGTCCAAAAGCTGCCGTGTCTATTTCTGGCAGACTTCTAACAGCCTATCTGGCCCCAGTGCTGTTGAGCAGAACTGCAGCTGCCTGCAGAAAGCCATTCTCAAGGGTGGCGCTTGAGTCGCACTCTCTTCACCCTGCTCTGAGCAGGTGAGCTGCCCTACAACCAGCTTGTCTGATTTAAAGGCAAACTCAATACTTGATTCACTTACCTTCAGGGGAAAGGTCGGAGGTTTTGGTGAAGCTTGGCGCTGAGCACTTGAAGATCTTTGTTCTGTCGCCCCCTACAACAACGTCAGGTCCGAGCAGGGAGACTAACACTCCTAAACTCTGCAGCGTTACAGCTACCAGAGCATCACTGGTGTCGCGCAGCCCCAGTAAAACCTAAAAGGAGGATATGCTGTCAAGCACAATCCAGCTCCCGCATCCATGAAACTGAGTAACTACATTTGCTACCAGTTTGTATCATTCCCTTCCCCCCCACCCCCCACCCCCCCAAAAAAAAACCATTTGGGGGAAGTCCAAGTAACACCGCTCTTCAGTTTAATCTGGAATTATGGCAGACCCAGGTTCAAATCCCCACTCTCCCATGGAAGCTTGCTGGATAACTTTCGGCCCACTAACACTTTCAGGCTAACCGGTGTCACCGGGTCGTTGAGAAGATACAGTGAAGAAAGTGAGTGTTGTAAGCCACTTTGGATTCTCATTGGGGAGAAAAGTGGGGTAGAAATGAAGTACGATAAGAATATATATTCTGGCAACCCTTCACCATCCTTGGTTCATTGCAAAATAAAGAGATCTTGAATGGAGAGGAACACAAAGTTGGACAGAAAGCTCACTGTGAGGGAATCCCCAACAAGCCACATTTATTAGCCAAACAGGCAAGAGACTGAACGGTAAGAGCCAAAGAAGCTGTGAGGTAGGACTGGTTAAAACGGAGGGAGACACAAGGGCGCACCGAGAGGCACGACAAGAGGGCTCCAAGCTCAAATCTCCCCACGGTGGAGTGGAACTTTCCTGCCTCCCACCGCAGCCTGACGCTCTCCAGGAAATACGGTCCCTGGAGGATAGGGGACCCCGAGGCATGACACGAGGGGGAGTCTGCGGTAGGAAAGGGGGAGACGGCCCGTTTACTCTGGATCCAGCTTGGATCCGCTTAACACAGCAGGCCTGCCCAGATATTTGCTCTTTTTGGGAGGACATAATTACGTCAACTTTGTATTAGAATGTTCACTGATCTTTGAGGATGCCGAGGTGCTTTTAAATTATCTGCCTGTCTCCTGCAGACTAACTGATGGCCAAAAAAACGGACCCCCCGTGCCCTTGCTAAAAGACTTATGTAACAAAACTGGAGAGATGAATACGCCCACCGCCAGTAACCCCAAGAACTGAAGACATTATAACCTTATCAACAATTGAATTTATAGCATACAGATGAACAGTTGAACATATCTTTAGATGCTGGAAAACCTTTTATAGAGGCTTATCTGTAAACCTGCCACCATTGTTGTAATATTTTTTTTAATTTCTTTCTGTTTCGGGTAAAAGATATGAAATTTGATTTTTTAAAAAATAAACAGCTTTGACCATCAACTCAAGTTCTCTCCGCTCCCGGAAGCTGGCGTTTGAGAGGCTGCGCTCCATTTGCCATACTGACCTGTGGCAATATGATGTTCTTCAATTCTTTCTGCGTGAACAGCTCGGCGTAGGCATCCAGGTGAGACAGTAACACTATCCGCACATGCTCCTCATGCACCTCGAAGAGCTTCAGCAGCACCGGGCTGACATGCGCCTGGAACATCGCTGGAGAAAGCAGGCCATTGATTTGATTCTCACCCACTTTATCTAGGGTAAAGAGTTGGAGAGTCACCATGATGCCGGAGTGAAACTAGCCCTTCCAGACGTGCTGCCACATATCTATGCTTTGGAAAACCACACAGGTTGTATTTTTAGCCAGGGCTGGGAGCAGTCTTCCAAGGTTCTGCAGGGGTTGGAAGCACAAGCGAAAAGCAACTGAGTGCCTTGGGAGACAGGCGGGCAACTGGGACCAGAGCAGGAAGACAGACATCAATAGGTGAGAAGCACAGAGCTTCTTTCCCATCTATTAAGACAGATCTTTTGGGCCGAAGGACAATCTGGAGCTCTGCAGGACCGTCGGTACCAGGTGAGAAGGGGAGGAGAAGCGGCATTAGGTCACAATAGCCACCCCCTCCTCACACTTTGCTGCCATCTGAACAGCAGCAGAGCTCATGTCTTCACCAAGGGAGCTGGTTCCTGTATCATCATTCGGGACTCTTCATCTGCCTTAACCAGCTCTCTCCCTCTAGAGTAAGAAAAAACTGGCGCCATTCCTTTAATGAACGGTTTATTTTATTTATTCATTTATTCCCCACCTTCCCCTCCAGTTCGGACCCAAACAGCTGACGCTGTTCTCTCCATTTTATCCCCACAACAACACTGAGAGGGAGGTTAGGTTCAGCGTGTGTGTGAGTGGCCCCAAATCACCCAGCAGAGTTCCGTAACAGAGTGGGGATTTGAAACTAGGTCTCCCAGCCCCGAGGGCGACACTCTCACCGTTACACCAAGCTGGCTCTCACGCTGGTTTAATTCTTTGGTCTTTTCCCCCTTCGCAAAACCTCTCCCCTCGTCCCATCCATCTTGTTACCCTTTGGCCACCTTTTCGGCTCTCTTTCCCCCTCCCACAAGAATGAGGGATAGTGAATGATTTCAACCGCTGGGTTACATTCATACGTTACACCCAACACCCCGGCCAAGATTTCCCAGTCCTTGGTGGGGATATTCACACACAAAAAAGGAACGTGCTGGACAAAGCAATCAACAGCTTCGAATCTTACTCCGGTAAAATTGCCTTCACAAATACCAGGAAAGGATCACCATCTTGTTTGTGTTCTGAAATAGTCCAGATGCTCATAAGCAGAGGTGTCAGTAGGTACCCCCATCCAGCCCCTCTGAATTCACACAGTGATGCCCGTGTCATATTCTGGAAGAGAAAATATTCACCCATCCTTGGCCCCAGGAGGTGGGGGAGGAAGCTCTTGACGGCGACAGGCTCAGCAAACACAAGCTGATTGAGCAGGAGAGGCACCAGCCGCAAAGCTATCAGCTTCTCCGACAAGCCGGCGACTCTGTCCAGCAGAAATCTGCATTACAAGAGAAGACGGTCAGCCAGCTTCCTTCATAGCTGCCTAATGGGGGAGTCGGGCACCACTCAGCTCCACCACCACCCCTTCTGCCTTGGCCATTCACAACCCAAATTCTCACAGGTGCAGGACTCAACTGTGAGAGTGTGCGTGTGGTACACATGCTCCCACAAGCACACAGCAGCCTAGTACCAAAGCAAAATACATTATTATTATTATTATTATTATTTACTGAATTTCTGAATGACCCCATCCCTGAGTACACAGGGCTATGGGCGATTTACAACCGATTAAAACATACAAAAATACAGTTTAAAAATCAACAAATCAATCCTAATTTCACAGTCTTCAGATGGCATCTATAATTTAATCTAAAACCTGCTCTGGACTGTTCTTCCGTCTCACGGGCAGGTTAAGGAGGAGCCCAAAGCAGGCAAGGTGGAAGGGAAGAGGAGGGTGCCAGCCATGACGGGAAACCTTCACTGTCCTCCACCAAAGGCCTGGCGGAACATCTCTGCCTCGCGGGCCCTGCGGAGTGGCATTCGGTCCCGCAGCAGGGCCCCTGGTGGAGGTGGGCAGGGACTGCAGTGTTCCCTCTAAGCTGAGTTAGTGTGAGCTAGCTCACAATTTTTTAGCCTCCAGCTCACAGATTTTTGTCTTAGCTCAGGAAGGATGGCTCCAGAGCAAACTGATTTATGCAGTATCACAGGCTCACAACTTTCAAGCCAGTAACTCACAAAGCAGAATTTTTGCTCACAAGACTCCACAGCTTAGAGGGAACATTGGCAGGGAGTCCCACCAGGTCGGGGCCTCCAGGGATCACCAGGGATGTGAAAGTTTTCTGCTGATAAAGGTTACTCCGGAGAGAACACAGAAAGGCCAAAAGCAGGAAT